CGAAATATAACTGAAATATATTTAAACATCCTTTGTATCCTGCATGGTTTTTCTATAAGTATGGGGCTAAAGAAATTTGTAGGGTTATTTTCTGGCTAAGAATCTTCATTTTCTTAGTCTCCTTCACTTTCATTTTACTAGTACTAGTGGTTGATTTTCTTTTAAGAGTTAATTTTTTTGAAACTGAAAGTCAAGATTAAAAAACCCATGAAAGTCACTACATTCTTGACACTGAATAGAAAAATGCAACATATTAAGGTGTTGGTCCTTAAGTTTGGCCCACTCTTGGGATAGGGTCCCACTCAATATACTAACTCAGAGAGTTCATGATACAAATGAAGCATCTAGAAAATGAGAAATCACTAAGTCATCAATTATTAGGGTTACTGAAAACAACTAAAATCAAGAATGTTTAATCTACAGATGGTGCTATGGTTTGAATGTTCCCTCCAAAGCTCATTTTGAAACTAGATCACTATTGTAACAGTGTTAAGAGGGTGGGAAATCTGACCATAGTATTTAAAAGGTGGGGCCTTTGGGAAGTGATTGGATCATCAGGGCTACGTCCTTATGAATGGATTAATTCACTTATGGATGAATAGGTTAACAGTAGAATGGGTTATCAGTAGACTGGTGGCTTTACAAGAAAGCATGTGGACACACTCTTGCCCTATTGCCATGTGATACCCTGTGGCACCTCAGGACTCTGCAAAGAGTCCTCACCAAGAAGAAGGCCCACACCAGATGTGCTCCCCTTGATCTTGGACTTTCCAGCTTCCAAAATTGTAAGAAAAGAATTGTGTTTCTCTATAAGATACCTAGATTCAGGTATTCTGTTATAAGCTACAGAAAATGGGCTAGTAGAGATGTTAAAGGTCTTTAGGCATCTAAATTAAAATGTGGTATATACACACAGTGGAATACTACTCAGCCATGAAAAAGAGTGAAATCCTGTCATTTGTGGCAACATGGATGAGCCTGGAAGACATTGTGTTAAGTGAAATAAGTCAGGCACAGAAAGACATATATTGCATGTTCCCACTCATATGTGGGAGCTAAAAAAAAAAAAAAGTTGAGCTTTTATTTTATTTTTTCGTGGCTGACAGGTACAGGGACTGAACTTTGGACTTTGGTACTATCAGCACCATGCTCTAACCAACTGATGGAACCAGCCAGCCCTAAAAGTTGAACTTCTAGAAGTAGAGAGTAGAATTGTGGTTACTAGAGATTAGGAAGGGGAAGGGTGAGGGAAAATAGTGAGAGATTGGTTAATGGACACAGAATTACAGCTAGATAGGAAAAATAAGTTCTAGTGGTGCACAATAGTGCTAGACATCTATAATTAACAATAATTTATTGTATGTTCTTGAATGGCTAGAAGAGAGGAGCTCTGATGTTCTCATCTCAAAGAAATGATAAATTGTTGTGATAATGAATATGCTAATTACCCTGACTTGATCATGATGCATTGAAATATAGCTCTGTACTCTATAAATTAAAAAAATAATAAATATTAAAAAAATTACAGACCTATAGCAGGAGGACACAATGTAATCGCTTGTTCACCTCTTCATTGTTATAGCATATATGGGATCATTTTGAGGGGGAGGTCAAATGATGCAGAACTTCCTGAGCTGAATCTCATATAAGAAATTGCTTTGGAACACCACAAGTTGGATTTTTAGTCTTTTACCACATATCTGCTGCTATGGTTGGTTTCTAGTTTGTTATAAATTCAAAAAGACTCTCAACCTCAGGTTCCTTCTCTTCAATGAGTGCTGGTAATTCCAACTTCCAAAGGCAGAAGTGAGGATCAACTCGGTCAGAGTTATGAAGGTCTTCATAAACATGAAAGCAGCCCACAAAATCAAGGTGTTAGCATCCTATCAGGTATCGTGGGCTTCAAATTTCCATTTATTTCCTTGAGCAAAACAAAAACACACGGAAGCAGTGACTAGCTAAAATGGACAGTGTGTGAAAGGTTTAACTTACTTCTTTTACAAACCACTGACAAAAGGCAGGACCAATCCATTCTCTTGCATGAATACCACAGTCTATCCAGACAGCTCCTTTGTAAGCTCGTGATTTTCTGCCCAGCTGAAAATAAGAGTATTCACGGTAACCGACTCATACTTTTATTTTTGGATTCACTGACCAGCATAATTTAATAAGGTTTCAGCATAATTCTTCACTAAAGTTTGGTTAATTAGGTAATATATAAAAAAGATAAAGAGATTTCCTCTCTACTTAGGAAGTCCAGACTTGTTTATGCAGAAACAATACATTTATTGCCCTAATCACAATCAAAGAGCTAGAAAACATACAAGGAAAAGGGCAATCCATAAAATAGGGTTGCTTCTCCATTTTAATATAGTATGTGACTGCTAAGTAACAAGCTAAATTTCCTCTCTCTCTCTATTTCCAGGGAATATTTCATAAAGAAATAATTATGTTTATAGGCAGATAAAATCAAACTTTATTATGCCACAAAACGGAAACATAAAATAAGTTGATTTGAGTAAAGTGACAGATTTTCCTTTACAATCCCACTATATCAATATTACTTTTAACCTGGTTTCTAACACAGTAATCAATAGGTAGCTCTTATAGGGGATCAAGTTTTCATTCGTTCATTAATTTACTCAACTAATGCTTCAAGAAATCCTTATTAACGTCAGACACTGTGCTCAGCACTGGAGATTCAAAAATGAAAAGACAGGAATTTATATGCTAGTGGGGAGGACAGACATGCAAGCCATCAGTCATGTGATGTGAGTACCTGTAAGTAACTGTGGAAACACAGGGTGTTATGTCAAATTTTCCTGGGAAATAAAAGAAGACTTCTCAGAAGAGGAGCACCTGAGTACTTCAGCAAGACTTGAAGCACGCATGGCACACAAATTAGAGGGAAGCTTCTCAAGCTCAGAAGAGAATCTGAGCACACCATATCTGAGGAACTGCTTCTGTAGCTTGAAGGGTGGGCAGGTGAAGCTGAACATGGAGGCAGAGAACACACAAGGTCCCTGGACACCATGTAAAAGAGATGAGGCTTCATCCTGTATTCCTTGGGAGGCTTGTGTGTGTGTTTGTGTGGGTGTGTGTGCACGCATGCTTGTGTTAGAGAGCTCACACTGATAGCAGTTTTGAGGATGGGGACTTGAGGAGTTCAGTACTGAAGCTGCTATCACAACAGGGAGAAGAGACACAGCTATCAGCTGGGGCCACAGCAGTGAGGACAAGAGAAGTGGGTGGGGCAGACCCAAAAGAGATTTAGAAAAAGAACTGTCAGCTTCTAGTGGTAAATTTAAAGTGAGTGGTTAAAATAACAGAGAGAAATTCGGATTATGCTCATGCTTCTGAACTGGGTGGATAGTGGTGCCATTCTGAGTCTGAGGTGCTTTTGTGAATACCCAGCTGAGCGCATCCAGAAGGCGATGCTGTATGAACTTAAAGCTCCAGAGAGTGGACTCCACTGGAAACGTCTGGGATGATTGCTGAAACCACGGGGCAGATATGCCCATCAATAAAGCATTTGTGGAGTGAAAGCAGAGCTGGGGATAGAGTCCTGGGGATTACCAGAACCTAAGGAAAGGACAAGGGAAGAGGAACCAGTGAATGAGACCTGAAGGGATGGTCAGAGAGGCAGGAGGAGAACCGAGTAGGAGTCATTGTTGACCTTGGCAAGAGAAGTTGCAGAGGAGTTGTAGGGGCAAAAGCCAGTGAGTCAGAGTCTGAAAGGGAAGTGAGAAAGGAGATGTGATAATAGGTAAATCTTTTTAGAAGTTTGGCTGAGAAGGGGTGGAGAGCTATAGGTCAGCAGCTAGAAGAGAATGCAGGATCAAGGGACAGGAATAGTGCACACCTTAACACATATACACAGTGTTGCATTGGTTCATTTCAAGTAGCACCAGCTCACTGATTTGTATCAGTAATTCTGAACATGTTAGCAACAGTATTCTCTGGAATATTCAATGGCAAAAATTAGATATGGCTCAAAATCCTAAAGGAAAATTTTTTCTTAAATTATCAGATGATTCTAAATATTGGACTAGGAAAGATCATTTCATTCCTTTTCCCCATAAATGAAAGTTGAAAAACGTTTGGTAAACATTTTATATTTAGTTAATAATTTCTTATTTTTACCTTTAAAATAAAAAGAGATCTTCCCTCATATGATTTTCCAATAGAGAACATGTGAATGAGGCCTGAATGAGTTTTATTCAGATGATGCATCCAATTTTGAATCTAAAAGCAAATAAGAACCATGTCAGACTCTCCCACAATGATGGAGCTTTTAGAGAACAAAAGGCAACAAAGAGACAATGGTAGGTCTCAGGATTCAAAGAGCACACATGGAAAGCAAAATTGAAGAAAAAAACAATTTTCTATTTTTAATTTTCTTTGGGACACTTAAAATTATGTTTTATTTTCTGCCTTTGCAGATAGTAGCTTTTATTGTTATACTGTTCCCTCTTTAAAGCATACCTTCCACTGTCATATATCATTCATATCTTGATGGCAGATTTTTATAGAAAACTAATTGTTGTGTCTGGCTTTTCTTTTCTTTTTTTTTTGAAAACCAAAGTTATTTCCATTTTCTCACAAGTATTTAAGAGGAAAAGAAATAAACCAGCTCTAGGAAAACCATCTAAACTACTTGAAAGTGTTTATTAAAGTCCCATATATTGTAATTTGCTACTGAACAGAAGATACTAAGAAAAAGGCATTATCTTTTGCATTTAAAGGTTATTCTACTGAGCCACATGTCTGAGGGCAACTCTGAATAATGTCTCCAGAGATAGTGATATATTTGCATTGATCCATTCATACACACTTATCTGTCATCAGGAGAAGCTAATGTGAGATAGATAAATGAGGTGGTTGGAAAGATGGGTGACATTTCTGACTAAAAGCCCTATAACGAGTAAAGAAGTAACAGAAAAGTGTCTCCTTATTCCATGATGTGGAAGGGACTGTGCTGAAAAAAGTTCGTAAATATATTTTGGAAAGTACCTATATTTGCTTTTCTTTCTAATCTTATTTAATCTAATGAGCAGGTTATATATATATATATATATACACACACATATGCATATCTATATCTATTATATTTTTTAAATTAGACTTTTTTCTAGTGCATGTTAACAGTACTTCCATGTGCCAAGTTTCTAAAACCTTTTCACTGCTTCTAATTTAAAGCTTCTAAAAGTATAAGACATGAAATATGTGGAAATAATTTTGAAAGGAGAGTTGTCATCAAGAGAACCCCAAATACTCTTATGAACATAACAGGATTTCATTAATTTTATGACTGTCATTCCTTTGTTTATTTCAAGGGAAAAGTAGAAAATGTATGTATTCATTCATTTATTCATTCTTAGAGGTTTTAGTTTGCCTACCCCTGGGGATGGTGTGGTGAGCAAGAAAGAAATGGCTTACCCTCATGGAATTCGCAGCTTACTAGGAGAGAAAGGCATGAATCAAATGATCAGACATTCCATATTATAAACACTGTGACAGGTATCACATCCGTGTGCTATGGGGGCCTGTAATATGCTGGGGTTGATGGGGAGAGGGGTTTGATCTAGTCTGGGAGAGTAGAAGTAGCTGCTTCCTTGCTTAAGCTGTGATTTGAAGAATAACAAGTTGTTGCCCAGGTGAACAGTAAAGGATGTGGTGGCGAGGAGGAGGTTGCTGTAAGTTTTCCAGGTAGAATAAATAACAGCATGTTCAAAGGTCCAGAAGTGCCACACAAGTGAAGCTTGGCCTTTGAGAGGTTTCAACTTTGCAGTGGGAGTGGGACACGCATCTGAGTCCATTTACCCCTCCACCCAATCCTGTCCTCAAACTCTGGCTCAGCATTATCTCACTCTTCCTTGCACTTCCCATGTCCTTTGTAGGGGTAGGTTGGATAAAGCAGGTGAAGTTCAAATTATTTTGCTACTTCTTATATAGCAGCAAAAGGCTTAACAGAACAGCTGAGAGAACTGAGGAGCCTGGGCCATGTAAGCGCTATAAGTATTCTTCACATAGCCCCTGTCTCTGTCTTTATGCTTTTCTCTCAATTTTTAGACCTAAGTGATAAAGATGCCCTTGTAAAAAAGCAATAAAATCTCCTTTTATTACATACTTCTTCTAAGGAGTGATAAACTTCATAATTGTATTCAGAGAGGGATCTTCTATTTCTCTGGATTTGTAAGCTTCTTCCCCTTTCCAGTGCTTTCTGAAGATCTTCTATGAGGATCCTGGATTTGAAATGATAGACATCATAAAAAGTAAATTGAGATTGTATGAAAATCAGGTAATATCAAAGAAAATTAAATGCATCTATGGGAAAGAAGTTCTGAGAAGATTGATATTTCTAAAAATATCAAATGTTGGAAAAATATTCTTTTTCAGCAAATAAAAACTGTTAAATACATGGTGTAATAAACAAAGTGTAAAATTACAGGTAGATGTCCCAAATAATAATGGCAGTAATAACAGCTACCATTCATTTAGCAGCTGCGAGCACTCACATTTGTTGAGTACTTACCGGGAGCCAGGCATGGTACTATGTATTTTACATACATGACCCACGTGGTAGATTCTACTGTTATCACCATTTTAAAAATGGGGGAGCTGAACTTTGAAAGGGTTAAGAACTTGACAATGTCATTCTGCTGGTCAGTGCAAAGCCAAGATTTGAACTTGGAATGTGCACCCAAATTCCAGTCTTGAGACTCCAAGGGCAGCGTGACGTAAAGGAAACAGCCTAGCCGGTCCTCGCCACATCCTCTTTCCTGCTGCTTATACCTGCTCGCATCCCCTTTCATCACCGAGACTGTTCCTGTCGATGCCCAGCACACTCGACCAAGATTCAGAGAGAAAAGGAAAAGGAGGGAAGAAGCAATAGTCTCCCAGAGTAAACCAAAGAAATACCCCGAGTTGGAAAAAGCTATTTTCCTGCCTGCCAGTATCAAGAATGCCCAGAGAAGAGAAGCTCAGTTAATCAAAGGGAATGCATTTGGAAATTGAAGGCTGAGGCCACGGTGGGGGATTCCAGACTCATGGCAATGTGTGGAACCAGCTCCAGGCAGAGTCATCAGTGTTCTTGACGTGACCTCTGAGCTGTCTTCCCAGTATTCCCCTATTTCCCTAACTACAGCACCAGGAAGTAATAAGGCTTCTCTCATTTGCAACACTTAAAGATTTTAAAGAGCCCCTCAGTGATCTTCCTGGGCCTGGCAGGTGGCTAAAAAACTTTGCTTTCAAACTTTACCTTGCAAAAGAACCTGTTGCTTAATGGTTTCAGTGTTATTAAAAGAACATATAATGGCATCTTTAAATGACTTTCAAGACTGATCTATATAAGCTACTTAATTTAAAAAAAAAAAAAGATCTTGAATCACCTGAATAAATACTTTGTGGTCCATGAAGAAAGTAAATTTACTTGGGGTCATGCTGGTGTAGGACATTCTTTTTGATTTACTCAATTTCTATTTATTGAGTGCCACTGTGGACAAAGCACTTAATGCAGAATTGATTGTTGACTCACTGTTCTTTTTGCTTCAAGTTTTGACTTTAAAACTGGAAACATTTTAGAAATCAGGATAAGGTGAGGTGGCCCAGATGTCAGCTGTCTTGGCAGCTGCTTGCAGTGGCTCAGAATGTGAGTGGAATGTTAAATCGTCAGTCTGAACATCATATGCATTAGTGTCTTCTTTCTTCCCTCAAGGTAAGAAGTTATAGATAATTAGGTCTGTATGGGCTAAAGAACTTTACAATATTGCCAAGGTAGGTCTTAAGAGCCAAATGAACCTCTATGACAACGTCCAAACTTTCTAGCTAGGAGAGAATCTGGGATGGTCAGGAAGTCTGCAAGTTTGATTAGGGCTGAGTTGATCACAAACTTTCAACATATTCCAGTTACTGCAGACAAGCTTCAGGTATGTTTCCCCTCACTAGGACTATCTATCCATTTCTCCTGGCCATTTTTTTCTATCCCAGGAAACTAAGGAAAAAACATGTAGATAGATCTGCCAAAGCCAGCCATATGAGAATCTCCTTCTGAATTTCAAGTTTAAAAAGTCTGTGGTACTTTGTTATGACAGCCCTGGCAACTAATACAGGTCTTTGTTTAGTAACTTAGACTATACCCTCATACAGGCCCTAAGAGACCAAGTTTAAATTAAAAAAGAACTGTGATATGCCAGGTCCAGCCCTATTTTCCCTTGTTGCTTTGCGTTGCTTCGTCCCCCACGGATTTGTCACCCCTCTTCCCCAGGGTGATGGAGATGCAAAGGATTACTCATAGCCCATCTCTGCTGAGCAGTGAGAGGCCCCGAAGTGGTTAATCTCCTGCTGGAACCCTCAAGCGAGACGGATTCCTTCCTTGGGAAATTAATGCCAAATTGGGGTTCTCTTCCTGCATTTATTTTCCAGACCAGGAAGTTACAGGAAGAGAACAAAGGTGGGGTTATAGTTTAACGATATAGACTGGTAACTTTCAGTGATACAAGCCAGATGACATTACAGTAAGGCTATTAAGTGGTCCTATCAACAACAGTTTGATCTTAGCAAACATTCTTCCTATAGCAATTTCTCAGTATCTTTACATAACAATCAGTAACTAGTCTGTCTTTGAGCCAGCAACCTGCTGTGCCACAATCCCTATCTTGCAACAGAGACTTATAGCCTGAGGGAAATTTCCAGTCCTCTGCAAGGTCAACATTTGAAACTGCAAGGCTTTGGAAAACCAGGCCCTGCGAAGTACATATGCTTTTTAGTATATTCCGCATTCCCTGTCAAGTAGTTAACTGGAAACCAGCTTATTGATGAAAATGTTGTGAAATGGAGCTCTAAAATGGTCTTCATAAACTGTTGTATTTTCTTAGTTCTTTACAGACAATTATTACTCCTACCCCAATTGTGTACAGTCCTATAGTAGTGACTAGAGCTATTAAAAACTTTTCAAGTGATGTCATCACTCAATACAAAGCCACTCTCCCAAAGCTTCCAGGGTGGGAAGGGACCCTCAAAAATGGAAATTTCATTGCCAATTTTTATAGATATTTAATTTATTAAATGACTGAAATTTTTTTATATCAGAATGAGTCATCTTATCGAGAGGGGTTGATCACCTAGGGGCCAGACACATGAGGTCATATTATCTCCACTTTATTTATTTTTTTATCTCCACTTTAAAGATAGCTATACATTATATATAGTTGCATAAAGTAAACAATAATCTTCTGAAAATCCCCCAGGCTACAATAACAAAAGTCAATTAAAATGAACTCTACCTACTGGGTGCATGGAATTTAATTGACTCTTTTGTGTTATTATCTTGGGACCAACAAAATGAATAATTCTAAATGATTGTTCACTATGAGCAGACAACTGATTTAAAACACTCATTTTTTTTAGACCCTATTTTCTGTGACATGAAGTGTGATATTTTATTCTGTATCAGTTCCACATGACCTATATTTAATGGCAGGAAATAGAAACTAGTTAAACTAACTGGTATATTCTTTTCTACTAAATAATAATTAATGAAGCATGTGAGTTATTACTGAGCACCTATAGATATAATTGCCAAGATCTTTCCTGCCAGACATTCAGAGAATCAAAGTATGCTTTCAAAGCTATGGCAATGACTAAAAGGTGTCCAAAATGAACAATAGTTTTCTGCATAGCTGTGTTTCAGTTCTAGAAGCACAGATAAAATAACTCTGCGAAAAGCCTGTCAGTCATTTAATAAGGCTGTGATATTGGCAGGGCACTATCTGTGTGGACCAGGGATGTCATTTTGTGCCCCTTGGCCCAGCTTTCTGGAAAGACTGGGAATCTCGTCACCGACCCATAGAGCCATTAGCCCACCTTCCCAGACACCACAAGGGACCTGTGTGCCAGTTTTGACAGCTAAGTAAAATTAACCAAGAATTTTTTTTTTTTTGTGACTGGTAAGGGGATCGCAACCCTTGGCTCGGTGTCACCCGCACCATGCTCAGCCAGTGAGCGCACCGGCCATCCCTATACAGGATCTGAACCCGCAGCATCAGCGCTCCCAGCGCCGCACTCTCCCAAGTGAGCCACGGGGTTGGCCCATGTTCTCCCCTTATTCTAACTTATGCTAAGAACAGTGCTCTGCTCTGCTCCATGTTCTCACCCTCTGTCCACATCTCTGTCTTCTACTAACAATCTAATCCCACCATTAGAGTTATCAATGTACTTGCCATCACCAAAGCCAAAGGAAACTGATTGGTCCTTTTCTTTCTGGATATCGCTGCAGCACTTGACGCCACGGACCAGTCTCTCTCTCTAGAGCCTTTCTTTTCTTCTTTGACTCCTGTCCTATGACTATCTTCCACTTGCTTTCTTCTTATTGCTCTAACTATTCCTTTTTTAAAAAACAAGCCCCAAATATCCAAATCTGTTCAAGTCTGTCTACTCAGTCACCCGAGATGGAAAATTCAGAGTCATCCTGTGACTTCTTCCTTTCCTATCTGTCATCCAACCAAATGGAGAGTCCAGGTGGTTTTAGCTCTGAAATACTTTTTTGAATGCTCTCCTGATCCCACTACTCTGGTCCTAACTCGGGGCCTCACTATCTTTTACCTGGACTATTATTATAGTCTCTTATTGCTCCTCCATGACAGTGAAATGCAGCTCCTTTGCTTATATCCAGAAGATAAGGTCTGAACTCCTACCCCTGCACGTAAGACTTTCCAGAACCTGGCCTCCCTCTACTCCCCTCAGCATCTTTTCTTTCTACTCTCTGCCTTGCACTTTGAACACTAATAACACTGAACTACAGTGTGTTCTCCATATTTGTGGGTCCGTCATCTGCAGATTCAACCAACCACAGCTCAAAGATGTTTGAAAAAAACCCAACAATAAAAAATGCAACATAACAACTATTTACACAGCATTTACATTGTATTAGATATTATGAGTGATCTACAGATAATTTATATGGGAGGATGTACGTGGGTTATATACAAATACTGTACCATTTTATGTAAGGGTCCTAAGCATCCACGGATTTTGGTATCTGCCAGGGGTTCTGAAACAATCTCCAGAGTATATTTAGGGACGACTGAACTTGCTGCCTCTCCTTTTGTTTGCACTGTCCCCTCTGCCTGCCAGACCCCAGTCTCATCCTGTGCCTGGCTGACACAGCTCCTTCAGACAGCCTTTCCTGGCCCTTCCTTCCCATCCATCCTGTAGGCATTGCCAGACTGCTCTCCCTTCTTCACACAGGAAAACAGCCTGTGTTTACACTGATCACTTAGTCTTAACAGTGGAATGATATGTCATACCAGTTTTCTCAATACAAAAAAACTATACCTGAAACACAGTTGTCACAAGCACTTGATAGATAACCTGAATACAACCATCATTTAGTTCAGTTTAGCACAGATGAATTTTATACCAAATGAAAAGAAATGCTTACTTGTACCGGATGTTGGCTTCCTGTAAGAAGGCTAACAGGGCTTGAGAACCATTTTGGGGAACACGGACATCAGTCACTGTTCCCTCTGATACATAGGAGATGCCGCTGGGCTGCCACAGGTCCACCTGTAGTGCAGGAACCAACCTATAATTCATATTCAATGCAGGTGGGGAAAAATCCATGTCACAATGTCAAACACATTATCTTGTTTGCATCCAGTAACACCAAACACATTTTGGGATTAGACTCAATGCTTGCATCATCAGGGTAATACTCCAATTTGATTTTGAATTTGGGCTCCAATTTATATCATATCTACATAAAATTTTTTTTTTTCCTTTTTGTCTTTTTTCGTGACCAGCAATGGATCACAACCCTCAGTGTCGCGCCCGTACCGGACCGGGACCGGCAACGGGATCGCAACCCTCGGTGTTGCACCTGCACCTCGCTCAGCCAGTGAGCGGCCGGTCTGTATGTGGGATCCGAACCCTCGGC